TGCCCGGCCGGCCGGATGATGAGCCCTGGGTGATGAATTGGATTTACGATGCGCGGACGTACGGGATGCACATCCGGTTCAACACGGTGGCGCCGGGGATGGTGGATTGGAGCGGCGACCGGATATCGTTCCGGCGGGTGCAGGTGCGGGTGTGCGAGTTGGCCGAGATGTTCCAGGGGGTGGCGCAGGAGGCGCGGTCGTTATTGGCGTAGTTGGCGATAGTGGGCGATGATGGTGGTGATGGTGGTGATGATGGTGATGATGGTGATGGTGGTGACAGCTATGGCGATGGGTATGGAGGCCGATTGGCGTTGGCAGCAGCGTTGCCTGCCATTAGGTGGGACAGCATACATGACGACCATAGCCAGGACCAGCTAGGGTATTCGTTTTTGCACGACGACTGCAATGAGGTGTGGGTGGGCAAGGGGAAGGCGTGGATCGCACGGCGCATCGCAGAGTCGGAGGCACGGCGGCGGGCGTGGTTGGACCCAACGCGAGGGGCGGCGGCGGCGGCAGCAGCAGCAGCAGCAGAGGCGGAGGAGACCACGTCCAACCGCAGCAATAGTCACCACCCATACCGCGAGAGAACGGTGCAGGCATACAAACAGGCGTTGGAATCGTTCTGGGAGCGGTTGTGGATGTTGATGCATATGGTAGCAGGGCAGCCAGCGCGGGCGCCCGAGTTAGCAGGCATCAGACACAGCAACACAGCTAACGGCGGGGTCAGGAACGTGTTCGCACACGACGGCATGATGTGTTTCGTCACATTATATCATAAGAATTACCGCCAGATGGGGATAGCTAAGTTGATACACTGGTATTTGCTGCGTGAGGTTGGCGAGTTATTAGTGTGGTATTTATGGTTGGTGTTGCTGTTTTGGCAGCAGATAAGAGGCATCATCTATCAGACAGACCGGAAGAGCGCATTTTTATAGGCGGACGACGTGGTTGTAAGAGGCAGGGCAGCAGGCGATGACGCCTGTGATAACAGCGAGGATGATAACGCCTGTGATAACACTATAACAGATGAGAGCACTAACGCCACCCCCAGCTGGGCCCCGTGGACGGACAAACAGTTGTGGACGTCAGATAAGGCAAGGCGGATCATGCAGCAGCACAGTGAGCGGTTGGTTGGCAGCAAGATTAACATCAGCGGGTGGCAGTATATAGCTGTCGCTATCGCCAACCGGTATTTGAACGAGGCGTTCGGGCGGGCAGACGACAAAAATAACGATAACGACGATAACGATGATAACAACGTAGGGGTTGAGGATAGCGTATTGGATTTGCAGGCAGGGCATGGCACGCATGTGGTGGGGATGATATACAGTCGGTTGTACCAGGAGGCACCGTTCGGCACGGCGGCGTTGCGGGACAGGTTCCGGGCCGTCAGCCGGCAGTGGCACCGGTTGTTAGGGTTCGGGGCGGAGGACCGGGGCGGCGGGGCACCCACCAAGCGGCGGCGGACGATGACGACGGCGGCGGACGATGACGACGGCGGCGGACGAGGAGTTCGAGGGCCAGCGGCGGCGGCGGTTCACGCGGTTGCAGTTGGCCAACGCTGGCAGGCAGTTGCGGCAGATGATGGGGGACCTGTAGGCGGCGTTCCGCGGCCAGCAGGAGCGGGTCATCTGGTCGATCATGCGCGGGGACGACCCAATCGTGCAGGTGACGGGCACGGGCGGCGGCAAGAGTTTGTCGTTCATGTTGCCGGCGTATTGCGCACTGGATGGGGTGACGATCGTTATGACGCTGTTGGTGGCGTTGCGCACCGACATGGACGCGCGGTGTTCGAGATTGGGGTTGGCGTTGACGACGTGGCGCGGCGGCGGGCGGGCTAACACGACGGCAGCAACGGTGGTGTTCATGACGCCTGAGTCAGCCGTCACGCAGGGGTTCTGGGATTTCGTTGGGCGGTTGCAGTGGCGGCAGCAGTTGGACTGGGTGGTGTTGGACGAGTGCCACGTCGTGTTGGACGGGTCGAGGGGTTTCCGGCCGGCGTTGCGGGCGTTGGGGCGGATGGTGTAGGAGTTTGGGGCGCAGTTGGTGTGTTTGACGGCGACGTTGCCGCCGGCGGAGGAGCGGGAGTTTTTCGCCGTGACGGGGATCCGGCCGGAGCGGGTGCGGGTGTTCCGCGAGGCGACGACGCGGAGGAATATCGAGTATGGGGTTGTTGTCGTTGCGTTAGGGTCAGGGGGTGGGGGTCGTGGTCGTGGTGCGGCAAGCCGCGGCCGCCGGGGCAGATCAGGGTTAGGGTCAGGGTCAGGTC